ACAAAAGTCGACGGGAGCTTACCTCCAATAAGCTCCGGAGACTAACTCTCGAACCCACGAGCTCTCGGCCGTGACCTTCCGCGTGTGCGATGGCTTGCGGAGACTTGCGATAGCTTGCGGGTGGCTACGGTAATGCGTGTGGTGCTCTCGGCAAAAGACCCTCCACACTCACTATGCCTCACTAACTCTCTCTAAAAATACTCTCGGCAATGCACTAAGGTGAAGAAAAAATAGAACAATTTCTTCAAACACTCTCTTATAACATGAGGGCCGAAAGTGTAGAGGTATGGTCAATGGTTCAAGACAAATGGCTACCATGCACCATAATTACAACACCTCACACTAGAATACAAATGACAAGCAAAGCCTCAATAATTTCGCCAAGGATGCACGGCATTATATGAGACATGTGCACGGATACTCGCGGAAGATGCCTAACAAAGAGACAAAAGGAGTGCACGGACAATGAGGGGAGAATCTCGAGCAAAAGGACAAGGCACACGCATGGACTACATGGCAATTGTTGGGAATCTTGGACCAAGCCACTCTCACAAAATGCCAAAGGGGTGCACGGCGCACGAGACAAATGTTGGCGCGGATTCTCTTGGCTACAACAACACGCATGGCTACATGACAAGGAAGGGCGCGGACTCCCGAACACACGCACGAACACACGCCCGGCATTGCACATGAACTCGACCCGAATACACCAACACTTGCACGGCATTTTGCTCGGCTATGCGCATGAACTCGGAATAAAATCCGAACAATTAGCTAATCTCGTGATTAAGTTAAATTAATCACTTAATTATGTTTAATTATCCAATTAAACATAATGCTAAATTACCAAAATCATTCTGAACGTAAACGGTACGTCGAAAATATTTTCCGGTAATTTCGATTGAAATAACTGAAAAGGATTAATTCCGAAAAATAACATCGGAACTAAAATATTATTATACTGATAAAAGTTGGGATATTACAGACGAGATAACCCTGACAGTTGCCTCGTCGCAACATCTTTCTGGCTTTCGCCATAGAAATAACATGTGGCAAGGAATGAGTCTTAGTACTGAAGAAAGTAATCTGATCATCTCCCGGAAGATAAAGGATAATCTCCCGGTCATGACATCGGATATCTGCATGAAAACGTGTTAGTCAATCCATGCCGAGTATGAGGTCAAAGTCCCTCATCTCAAGAACATAAGCATCGGTAGACAATATACGATCACCGATAGAAAGACTGAGATCTGTGGCTTTAGCAGAAGTCACTATCTTTCGTCCCGAGGCTAAACTCACCTCGAGAGGATCGACAACGGTAATAGCATGAACTCCAATGGCATCGAGACATCGCCGTGATATAAATGAATGAGTCGCTCCAGTATCAAATAAGGCGAAGACAAGAATATCAATAAGCATAAGCATCCCAGACATAGTACCTGGGTGTTGTTCCGCCTCGGCCTGATCGACCACATAAACCCTGGCCTGCTGTCTACCCCTTTGCTGCTGCTGGGGTGGCCTCTGAGCCTGCTGTCGGGGCTGCTGCTGCTGCTGTGGCTGTTGAGGTTGCTGTGGCTGCGGCTGGAGTCTCTTCGGACAACGACTGACAAAATGCCCGGGCTCATGACAGTAATAACAAATATCCTGGCCAGCATGACACTCTCCGCGATGAAGTCTTTCACAAGTAGGGCACTGTGGAATCTGCTGCTGCCTCCGTCGGGTCCTCGTGTCCATCGGTGTGCCTTTCCCTTTCCTCTTGTTGTTCCTCGGTGGCTGGGCAGTAGCTGGTGGAGCTGTGGATGACTGGGCAGGGGCAACTGGCTGCAATCGGTCATGGTTCGCCTCCCTTCGAATGCTGGCATCCATCTCCTGGGCAATGGCAACGGTACGAGCGTACATCTGGGTCCCGTGACCTACAATATTATGACGGACTGCTGGGTAAAGCCCGTCAATGAATCGCTGTGCTCGCTGTGCCTCAGTACGCACCAGATCTGGAACAAAGGCTCCGAGTCTGGTAAACTCTCTCTCGTACTCATCAACAGAACGAGTACCCTGTTTCAGCGACAAGAACTGCCGCTCCATCTCAGCTCGGTAATACGTGGGATAGTACTTCTCCCGAATCATCTCCTTGAATCTCTCTCAGGTAAAACCTTCTTTATCGCCGGGACGCATACTCCAGTAGGCATTCCACCAGAGTCGGGCATCACCGGTCAACTGAAGCTGTGCGCAAATAACGCGATAACGATCTCGGCAATCCATGACCTCAAAAATCAATTCGAGGCCCTGAATCCACTCGTCTGCAATACGCGGATCTCCCTGGCCGGAGAACTTCTCAGGGTGGTAGTCGCGGAACTGTGCGACCACTGTGGCCTGGGGGACCGCTGGCTGTTCGGGTTCCCTACGGGGCGGCATCTGAATATTGAAAAGATTCAACATGATCAAAACACAAGGAACATACTTTAACTGATCATTAAGCGCACAAATTTCTTGACGAGTAGCTAAACATGACTAGGAAATACTGACATTAAATCATGATGATACTGACTACCGGTCCTGAACATGATTCGAGCATCTTAACTAAATCATAACTGAAAATATCTGAGCATAGAAATACTAAATTGTTTATAACTGAAACATGAATCAGCACTTACCTGTAGTCGGCGAGGCGTGAGCTTGACGTGTTAAGGTTTTCATAAAATTTCTGACTCGTAAAAATTTTTCAGAGACGCAGAAACGTGTTCTGATACCAACTGTAACACCCCGCCTTGACATAAAAATCAGAGTGCGTTTTCGCAAAAAATTTTAAATAAAATACTAATTAGTTTGCAAAATACTGATTCGGAGTGCTACCGTAAAAACATGACTTATTCTGAAAAACTGCTATTCTAGTTTTTAATGAAAACCAACAGTTTAACTTAAATTATTAACTTACTGAAAGTCCAACCAAAAGGTAAGTTTGTCAAAAAGTCATGAACAGCAGAAACGTAACATCGTCAAAATATTTACAACACGTAATCAAAAGTCCTGAACCAGCCGCCAGCTCACTCCTCGACTCCGACTCTGTGACCTGAAAAACATGATAAATATGGGGCGTGAGCACTCAAATACACTGTGCTCCGTGGAAACTCATACTGAAGTAAACAGTGAAAATAATTGCAATATCATGATCTTAGCATATACATAACCTGAACATGAAACCGATATACCATTACCATCACATAACCATTACCTCATAACCGTTACCTCATCTGCCAGCATAAAAATACCGGACACCATGTGCACACTCTAGTGGGCAGACTAGGGCCACTAGAACCTAGAATGGACCGGCGACCATTCCAAGCGGATACATGACATGAAATACATACCTCAAATATGGTACCGTAATTAAAATCAATGTAATACCCAGTCTGAGTCCCCACCTGAACTGTCTGACTGAAAAGGTAGTGCTGATAATCGTATCCTGATCAAACTGAAAAGTAATATAAACAATTACTAAATACTATGCTCAGACTGATAACATAACTTTTTAATATGTTAAGATGCTCTACTGGACTTAAACATAATAATCGGATTTAACCGGTATAACCAGAACCGGCTAAAATCAAAACTGAACTGACATGAATTTATTGAACTGGACCGGACCCGGAATTAACTGAAATCTGGACATAAACATGAATGGGGACTTAAAACATTTACACATAGGCTGAACCGGTCTGAACCAGTCAGTTTGCGGTCTGGCCGAACCGCCAGTCTACTGCGGCCGGGCGGTCAGCGACTGACTCGGTCGATGGCCTATTAAGGTCGCGGGCACGGGCGCTGGCATGACTGTGCATGGCACGGATTGTGCGCAGCACGGCTGGCGTGGCTTGGGCACGGCATGAGGCTGCCGACCTTGTTGAGCGTGACTGGAACATAAACATGACGGACTGTGCACGCGCACGACCACTGGACATGGCCTTTGCGTGCAACTGAGTGCTGCTGGACATGACATTGAGTGCTGCCGAGCGCTACGGGCGCTGGCCTTGCGCGACTGGAACTGCTGGGCGCTACCGCACGCTGCAGCGGGTGCCTGGGCACATGGACATGCGCTTGGGCGTTGGCTGACATGAACAAGTACCGCACGGGCGCTGCCGAGCAACCCTGGGCGGTACCGGGCGATCGACCATGCGACTGGCACTGCTGAGGCCCGCTGGCTTGAAGCTGATCGTACTATCGTGCTTGAAGTTACGTCGGCGTGTTTTAAGCACACATTGTCCGACGACTGATGCAGACAGAGGCCGTACATGACGCCCAGCTGGACGTACACGCTAGACACTTGCCCGTCTGCTTGACTGTCGGCAAGCACGGCCGCTGTGTGCGGCAGCGTGCACACGACCAGCCCTTGCCGGCCATCCGACGATTTTCTCCGACCGATTTAACATGAAACAACATGGATGACCATAACTTACCATAACATGACTAATCATGTATAAAACGGTCGAACAACATGAACATAATATACTAAGACATACACAGCCACGGATTGCGCTATGTGCGTAGCCGACGGCTCCGGCCAACCCCTTGGCCAACTAACAATTTCTCTCGGTAACTATAACATGAGTTAACTTAACTTAACATAACATGAAAAATCACACATAATTCTCTCGAGAGATAATGAACCTAACTTGACTTCACTCGGTGAGACCTTGAACGGCCCGTGGCATGCGCTACGTGCGCAGCTCATGTCTCTCGGCCAACTCACCGACCCAATGATAACTTCCCTCGACCAACCTGAATTAACTGAGTATAAAACAACTTATGACGATCAAGTAAACCTGAATCGCTCGGGAGTTGTCGGGTAAAATGAATATTAGTAGGTCATGACTTAATAGGCACAAAAACCGAACATGACTCGATCTTTACTTGAAGTAAAAGCCATGAACTGAACCTGGTATAATCTAATTTGGTCCTATTAACATGTATTGATGTTGAAGGTAAGGCTACCTCTTAAATCTCTTGATGAATTATGCGTAGCTTTCCTGCGATCAACCTTGCGTGCTCGTGCGTGTGTGTGCTTCTTCGCCTCCTTTCTTCCGTACGCAGCTTTAGCTTAATTATGTACTAACCTCTCTTAAGTTCTGCTGAGTATTTAGTTAAGTGTTAAGCCATAATTTTCCTCCCCAACATGTTAATATATAGAAGGTGAAATTTGGGTGAAAGCGTGAAGTAAAAATGGGGCCAATAAGGAGGTGCCACTTGCTTTACACCTAAAGCATGAGGTGTCTTGCCATTTTGCTTAGTCATCCTTAGGCATATAACAAAAAGCCACTTAGCTAAGTACTCATGATGATATATCACGTGAGGTTAGTTCAAGGCGTACGAAATTTGGACAAACAAAACGTGGTTTAAGCTTTGATCAAACATGATCAAGATTAATTAAGTATGGTCACCTTGTGCTAAGATCATGCACCATTTAGGCGTGATTAAGCTCAATACAATTTTTATCGAAAGACTAAACATGAATTTCCTTATCGGAATTTATTCCGAACATAAATGTGATATTCGAAAATTAATTCGAACTCCTTTAACTGAAATAATTAGTTCCAAACGATAACACTTAGTAAAATAGATACTCCGGAACTAAACATGATATTACTTAATAACATAACGGGATATTACAATATATGTTCCTCACTAACTTTCTTATACAGATAAAGATATAGGTGCACTCAAATTGGTCGATAAAAAGTTCAATCATAGGCTTGCACATCGTCTATCTTCTACTCTAAACCAATCAAAATCGAGACCAGTGAATCAAAAGGTCTTTCAGGATTGTAACGTAGGCTCTTCGGACAGGTAGGATAAATTTAGGCTAAGTGGCTCGATTTCAACTCAAACTCCTAACCCACGAGTGCAAGCTCAACCGGTTGCTCAAACAAACCGGATTTTCCCCCACACTAATCCCAAAAAGCGCATGTTTCACCCGACTTATTTTGCTTCGCTCTTTTTGTGCGACCCTTTTTGGTCACCCTTTTTTTTTTTGCTTTTTTTTTGTGTAAACCTCTTTGGACATTTACAATTCATTCAGCTACATTTTTTTTATTTTTTTTATTTTTTTTGAAAACAAAATGTAGACAAAACTCCACAATTATCCCCTCTCATTCTCAACCCGAGACTCAACAATATCATCATCACGAGGTTATATATAAAAAAAAGAAAACAGTTAGGCTCAAAAGGACGACTAAGGAATAACTGCAGAAAAAAAAGGATAGAAAAATACAAAAAATGCCTTAATCATATTCACAGTTCACAACCCAAATTGATTCATTTCGATGCAAACTCAGGGCAAGTTCTAATCAAACAAGAGCACGACCAATGTATCTCAAGAAAGAAATACGGCTCAAACCTCACTAGGCAAATATATGACTGTCAATCAAAGCCATTAACCAAGCATTTCATCACGCTACGCCATATAATACCATCATCACAACTCATCGAATTCATTAAATAAGTCTCAACTCATCATTAATTTTCCAAAATACAGGCTCTGAAACACACAAAACCTACACTAGACCGGTCCACCAACAAGAGAAAGAAATAAAATCGACCCTAAAAAGAAAAACTAGACCTGGTCTACCACATAGTCACGTAAGCACGTAAACTTCCCCACACTTAAAATCTGACAATGTCCCCATTGTCGATTCACAGTGAAAGAGAGTTAGATCATATAATAAACCTACTCGAAAAGCAAAGGAACTGTACAAAAATAAAAGAGAAAGAGAAAAAGAAAACGTACAAAGCACAGTGACAAGTCATTGTGCGTCCAGTGGTGGCGGTGGTGGATAAGGCTGACTGGGTCTCGAGCCCCAGCGGGTGTCCTACTAGGTGAATCTCTGATCCCAGCTATCAAGTCGAGCATCCTGCTGGTCCTGCCGCTCGCGAATAGACTGGAGACCCTCGATGAAACTGTCGAAGTGCGTGCCCATCTGAGTCTAGTGGGTATGCTACTGGGTATCCCAATGGTCCCACCGATTCGTCTGATGGGTCTCCCAGCTGGCCCACTGGGTGGTCTGACGGTCCTCGAGAACGGTCAATCTGCTATTTTGGGTGTAAAATGGTCGTGGATGGAACGGATGTCTGCCGTATACTGAGCCTGAAACGAGGTCCACCATCCTGGTGGCTGCTGTGGAGGAACTTCAGGCTGTGGGTTCGGAGCCGGAGTCCAGACTGGTAGAGGTGGGAGTAAATAGCTATCATCGACGTTCATCCGCTCATGATCGTCTCCCTCTGTCGGATGCCAAGACGACCCTGCCTGGTCGGGATTAGGCGCGCTCTGCTGGAGCTTCTTGAAGTAGGTCGAGTAAGCCTTGCGCTTCGTATACTCCTGAAGGGTAGTCCGATTTATGATGACGTCGGACGACTTGAGCTCATGCTCATTGATACACTGCATCTCAGATTTGTCCTTAGACCAGTCAAACTTGGGATCCCGTTGATCAATGCCAAAATGCTTGGTCAGTGCGGTAACAAAATGTCCAAGCGCCGGTGTTCCACGCTGACTGAGTGCGATATTCTGCAACGTGTTCAGCAGAAAGGTCATAGAACACACCGACACTTTTGCTCGCATCGCTCAGAGAAGGAAAAGCTCGACCTCGCTCACTTTATTCGCCTTCTTTTTCCCGAAAATATTGTAACAAACGAATTTGTGCACAACAGTAGTGGCTAAGTCCTCAATGAGACCGTTGGGCATGCCGCCAGAGTCCCACTTTTTGGGCGGGGAAAGCTCGGCCCAACTATTCTTGGCGTCGAACTCTATGGACTTGTGCCTCGTCCCGGATATGTTGAACCCGCAAACCTTCTTCATGACATCATTATCTACTGTGTGATCTTTCCTCCAAAACCGACAAGTGAAGTACTCATTCCCATCGGCGAGCACGAATGAGCTGAAGAACTCAAGCATTAGGCCTCGATACGACGGCTCTTCGATTTTGGCATATTCAGTTAAGTTGAGGACTTTGAGGTACTTCATCACATCCTCGAGAATACCTAAGTCGTTCAAGAGGTTCCAATCCACCGCCAATCCACCGCCTTTGGCCGCACCACCTCTTTTTGCGAGAGGCGGGAGTAGATATCGCCTTCCTTTTGGGAATAAATAGGGAAAAGAGCACCGTATTGGTCCGAAAGATCATCTCGGTTATCTTCCGAAGGGGCACCTCGTGACGAGGATTCGCCCGCCTTTCGTTTCTTAGTCGGTTCAGCTTGAGCGGTTTTCTTCTTAGTAGGACGAATTGGAGTCTTGCCCATTTTGAAGAGTTGAAAAGTCTTTCGGGCAATATATTGAACACCTTGCGGGCAAGACTTTGAAGGAGAAGCTTGCAAATGAAACAAAGGTGGGGGAACCCAATATATGTCCTTCTTCAAATGCAATATCTCCACAACCAACCAAACGGTTCAATTCCGTCAGAAAAAAAACAAAAACCACGAGTACCGGGAGTTTAAACCTCGAATAGGCACTGGAAATCGCAGTGGAGAGCTTGAGATGGTGGTGCCGGTTGGTGTTGGTGAGGTGCTGAGGAGGCCGGAGGTGACTGGTGAGACACCGGCAAGAGTCACCGAACAGAGCGGACGCCGGAAAGGGGCTCGAAATTGGCAGACGTGAGTTAGGGTTCCCAGACATAAACTCCAAATTCTAGGTAAACTCGCTTGGGGGCTATCGGAATGAAAAAGTTTAGAATTTGGGGGCGAATTCTAGAGATGTCGCAAAGATTTGTAGAAGATTTGATGAACTTGATGTTTGAGTGGAGCAAGAGAGACAAAAATTACCGGCGTGAGTAAAGCTTTTTGAAAGGATTAAGAATGCCGAGAATCTATGCCAGGGCTCTTTAAAACGTGGCTTATGCAGCCGCAACTTTCTTAGAGGCCGCGAAAAGTTTGTTCGCCGCGGCAGCGACATCACTCCGCGGCCGCGAGATTTGTTCTCTAAAGCGGAAGATGTTGGTACCCAAAATTATTCACAGCGGCCGCGGCGAATAAATGCTCATGTGGCCGCGACCCTACTCCGCGGTCGCGAAAAACCCCCTAGGCCGCAGGATTTTTACTCTGTTGCTGCGCGTTTGAGCCCGAGATTACTTGCCGCGGCCGCGGCGAATATATCTTCCGCGGCCGCGACCTGCAATTTTTTTTCTAGCAGAAATATATATATATATATATAATAAAA